AAAACATAAAATATTGTAATAACACTTGTAATATCATATGAATTCTAATAAAGGAACAGAGGCACGGCCTTGCTTTTTTAAAAAAAAAAAAAAAAAAAAAAAAAAAAAAAAAAACTCTAATCCTCGTTGGTCTCGAAGGCGTTACTATGGTTTTTTTATTACTACTCATTTTTCGTACCTAAATACAAAAAAAACATTGAAAGTAAAATTCGTTTTCATAGTCTCCGTTAAATGAAATAGCAAATTACTTTAAAAATAAATTACACGTTATTGCTAACTTATTTACAAACATAAAGAAATTACATTTTGAATTCCATATCCAAAGGATTCTAAGACTAGAGACTCAGACAGAGCCCTCAAAATAACTAAAAAGTTAGAGTTATCTGCGACCTAAACCTATTAAAAAAATTTTCACTATACCTTATATCGAGAGTTTATTAGTAAAACTTCATTATATCGAGCAAAACATTAATAGTTTCTAACTACTATATCGAAGTTTCAATAACGAGTGACTTGGATACCTCCGTGTAACATTACTATGTGTGACATATTTCGAGATTTTTGACGTCAAATTTTTATCAAAAATTTCGATCTCAGATTCCATTCTTCGACTAACGTGTTATAAACAAAATGCATAATAACGATACACTAGAATCGCAGGTAATTCCAGTAGAAGAAGCACATAGTTCTTTAGATCAACTGCCTAAAAAACGCAAAAGAACAGCCAAAAAGGAACAAAAGGAAAAACGTAAAAAAGATAAAATTGTACTAAACAATCAACGATCTCTACAAGTTCAAAGTGAACCCATTTTACGACAAATGATTCCCGTTTTGTCTTCAAACGCCAAGGAAACCAGTCAAAACCGAATAAAAATTATGACCTATAATGTACATGTATTTCTATCTTTTCTTAAAGATCACATTTCATATGCTTATTTAATTTTTTAATTATTATAGCTTCTTGCTCAATCTCTCATCCGCAGGGAAATTTTTCCTGAATCTGGTGATGCACTTAAGTGGAAAAACCGTCGTCCTCGTTTACTAAAAGAGATATTGTATTATGAACCCGATGTCTCTTGTTTTCAAGAAATGGATCATTCTAATTATTTCGATACTTTTAAACCTGAATTCGAACTTGCTGGATATGAAACATGTTTCGCTGGAATCGGTAAAAGACATGGTATGAACTATATTAATAATATTATCTTATTTATGTAAATAAATGACTTTTATTTTTTGTTTTTAGGTTGTTGTATAATTTGGAAACGATCTAAATTTACAAAATTAAGTGATCTTACTATCGAATTTGACAGGGTTGGAGTACCTACGATGACAACAAACTGTATTGGCCTTATTGTTTCCCTCAAATATAGCGAGACTCTCCCTGATGAAAAAAACCCCTCAAATTCAGGACTAGTTATAGGGACAACTCATCTCTACTGGAGACCTCAATGCATGTATGAACGTGCAAGACAATGTTTAATCCTTTGCGAAAATTTGTTCAAGTTTAAAAAGGAATTTGGTTTTGAAGTAATATTGGCCGGTGGTAAGCGTATATTTTTTGTTGGATTAAAGTTATGCATCCTTGTGTTTCAAAATTTAATATTTTTCTTAATATCGTTAGATTTTAATTCAACGCCAACAGATCCTACTTACAAACTAATGGTAAGGAACACATCGTTGACTACGGATGAAATCTCTGAATTGGAAGCTTCAATGAGACCTTTTGGAGAGAATGCAACCTCCAACGATTCCCCTTCAACAGAAGATATATTTGAAAATAGTCTTGACAACAATACTGACTCGATTATAAGTGATGGTACAGGTTTGTTAACAAATTCTTCATCTACTTTATCTGCTGTACCAATCACACAGAAAATATTACCACCAACGAGTGTCGGCCAATCTATACAAACTGAATTGGCATCTCAATTTCAACCAACACTTCCCGACCTGCTTTCATATTTTGCAAACCTTCCATCTTGTGTATCATTGTATGCGCAACATCTGAGTTCAATAGATCCTGAAAATACTATTTATTCTGAACCGAAATTTACACATTATGGATTATATTTTAAAGGAACTTTAGATTATATTTTTCTTTTTTGTCACAATTATAACAATCAAAATAACGAAGATTGTGATGAAAATGTTAAATCCAAGGTTAAAGTTACTAAATTATTAAAAATGCCACAAGAAGAACATTTATTGCCACTTTTACCTAATTATAAATTTAATTCTGATCATTTATGTTTAATGGTTGAATTAGTTGGGCTGGTCTAATAAATATAGATTAGCATTTAATGAATTATTAATTTTTCGATTATAACCGGTGCGGATCAATAGTAAAATCTGGAATTTACTTTTTACTATGAATCTGTTTCTGGTTTACTTTTTATAAATTTAAAAGTAGGTATTGAAATAAAATTTTTTACTAAAAATAAGAATACACAGTGATTCTTGATATAACGGACCACCGATATAACAGTTAACAAAATTATTGTGACAGATTAAAATGAAATCTGATCAAAACGAAATTTTTTTTATTTTTTAAAGAAAAAATAAAATTTTTCAGGGGCATTTTTAATAATTTAGTAACTTTAACCTTGGATTTAACATTTTCATCACAATCTTCGTTATTTTGATTGTTATAATTGTGACAAAAAAGAAAAATATAATCTAAAGTTCCTTTAAAATATAATCCATAATGTGTAAATTTCGGTTCAGAATAAATAGTATTTTCAGGATCTATTGAACTCAGATGTTGCGCATACAATGATACACAAGATGGAAGGTTTGCAAAATATGAAAGCAGGTCGGGAAGTGTTGGTTGAAATTGAGATGCCAATTCAGTTTGTATAGATTGGCCGACACTCGTTGGTGGTAATATTTTCTGTGTGATTGGTACAGCAGATAAAGTAGATGAAGAATTTGTTAACAAACCTGTACCATCACTTATAATCGAGTCAGTATTGTTGTCAAGACTATTTTCAAATATATCTTCTGTTGAAGGGGAATCGTTGGAGGTTGCATTCTCTCCAAAAGGTCTCATTGAAGCTTCCAATTCAGAGATTTCATCCGTAGTCAACGATGTGTTCCTTACCATTAGTTTGTAAGTAGGATCTGTTGGCGTTGAATTAAAATCTAACGATATTAAGAAAAATATTAAATTTTGAAACACAAGGATGCATAACTTTAATCCAACAAAAAATATACGCTTACCACCGGCCAATATTACTTCAAAACCAAATTCCTTTTTAAACTTGAACAAATTTTCGCAAAGGATTAAACATTGTCTTGCACGTTCATACATGCATTGAGGTCTCCAGTAGAGATGAGTTGTCCCTATAACTAGTCCTGAATTTGAGGGGTTTTTTTCATCAGGGAGAGTCTCGCTATATTTGAGGGAAACAATAAGGCCAATACAGTTTGTTGTCATCGTAGGTACTCCAACCCTGTCAAATTCGATAGTAAGATCACTTAATTTTGTAAATTTAGATCGTTTCCAAATTATACAACAACCTAAAAACAAAAAATAAAAGTCATTTATTTACATAAATAAGATAATATTATTAATATAGTTCATACCATGTCTTTTACCGATTCCAGCGAAACATGTTTCATATCCAGCAAGTTCGAATTCAGGTTTAAAAGTATCGAAATAATTAGAATGATCCATTTCTTGAAAACAAGAGACATCGGGTTCATAATACAATATCTCTTTTAGTAAACGAGGACGACGGTTTTTCCACTTAAGTGCATCACCAGATTCAGGAAAAATTTCCCTGCGGATGAGAGATTGAGCAAGAAGCTATAATAATTAAAAAATTAAATAAGCATATGAAATGTGATCTTTAAGAAAAGATAGAAATACATGTACATTATAGGTCATAATTTTTATTCGGTTTTGACTGGTTTCCTTGGCGTTTGAAGACAAAACGGGAATCATTTGTCGTAAAATGGGTTCACTTTGAACTTGTAGAGATCGTTGATTGTTTAGTACAATTTTATCTTTTTTACGTTTTTCCTTTTGTTCCTTTTTGGCTGTTCTTTTGCGTTTTTTAGGCAGTTGATCTAAAGAACTATGTGCTTCTTCTACTGGAATTACCTGCGATTCTAGTGTATCGTTATTATGCATTTTGTTTATAACACGTTAGTCGAAGAATGGAATCTGAGATCGAAATTTTTGATAAAAATTTGACGTCAAAAATCTCGAAATATGTCACACATAGTAATGTTACACGGAGGTATCCAAGTCACTCGTTATTGAAACTTCGATATAGTAGTTAGAAACTATTAATGTTTTGCTCGATATAATGAAGTTTTACTAATAAACTCTCGATATAAGGTATAGTGAAAATTTTTTTAATAGGTTTAGGTCGCAGATAACTCTAACTTTTTAGTTATTTTGAGGGCTCTGTCTGAGTCTCTAGTCTTAGAATCCTTTGGATATGGAATTCAAAATGTAATTTCTTTATGTTTGTAAATAAGTTAGCAATAACGTGTAATTTATTTTTAAAGTAATTTGCTATTTCATTTAACGGAGACTATGAAAACGAATTTTACTTTCAATGTTTTTTTTGTATTTAGGTACGAAAAATGAGTAGTAATAAAAAAACCATAGTAACGCCTTCGAGACCAACGAGGATTAGAGTTTTTTTTTTTTTTTTTTTTTTTTTTTTTTTTTTTAAAAAAGCAAGGCCGTGCCTCTGTTCCTTTATTAGAATTCATATGATATTACAAGTGTTATTACAATATTTTATGTTTT